CTAGGTTTAAAATGTTCATCAATTGAACATGTGACTGACAACTTCTTTGATATCACTCTACCAGGTATAAAGAAAGTTTGAAAGAGTAAAAGATTATGGGGACTATTTTATTTCAAATTACCTTATTTTTACTTATCTATATTTACATATGTATATCCCAAGTAAATACATATGTATTCTTTTACTTGCAAATCTCAGGGACACTGATTTTCTTAATATTGTTTGAAGGTTTTCTGGTGATCTCAGGTTTCTATGAGTTCTTCCAGCCTCAGTCAGAAAGCCCAAGTGTTGGTGCTGCAGCAAAGACATGCTTTCTCCTAGGAGTTTCTTCTTGTGATACTAATTTGTCTCTGTTGACTGTAAACAAAGTATAGATGACTAAATTGATCTGGATGCCTGATTTTATATGGCACTATGGCATGTGTAGAATGACATATTTTGTGTAGAAATCTTTGATTAATATTAAATTTAATCCCAAAGAAATTTTACTCTTTATTATCCTACATAATCTTGAAAGCAAACCAGATCTCCCTAGCTACTGGTGTAAATAGTGGGAAGACTTCAGCTCAAGATAGATACATTCATATAAATTCAAATTTAGATAGAGAAAATCCCATCATGAAATACCATGTCATCAAAGTTGATCTGTTTTCAAGCAACATAATACTGATAAAAGGTATTTACTTTAGAATATTGTCTTGAGATCCTGAATGAGGGCAGGGACACACACTACTTGTGTAAATACGTGTAGTAAAAGGATTCTTCTTGCCAAAACCTATAGGAGTAATTCAACAGAATTACTTATTTTTAACAGTTCATGCCAAAATTTTAAACTGTTCAAATAACTACAGAATCCAAATGAGAAAACTTAGGAAAGCTATAATTACTTTTCTATGATTGTATGAATATAAATCTAAAATTATTAAGTAAAGGGAAGCAATAACTTTTGGTTTATTTATTCCCATGATGTCATTTTCAACATAGGTGTGGTTAAAATATCTCTCTTCTATTTCATAAATTTTTACATGATTATTACATGGAAGCAGCTGGCTTTTAGTTAGGATTGCAACTAGGAACATTTCACTGTAAGGCCTTATTTTTCTCTATTCAGTGGTGAAAAATAAGTTTTGTCTGAAAATTTCTGCAGAGTCTGAAGAAAATCAGTCATACTCTTTCATTAAGTTTGTCTTTATAGGAGATTTTCTAATTTGAAAGTTTTAAATATTACTAAATATTAAAGATTGACTTCGTACTCATAACATAAACTTTCTATTGATTGAAGTTTCCTAAACCTATCTCCATATTTATTTAAAAAATAAACATGTAATTAATTAATTTTATAAGTTTATTTTCTTGCATAATACATAGTGTAGGTCCAATCCTGCCTCTATTGAATTATGCTTCCTGGCAGCCATGGGCCTGAAGTGTCTGTTCTGTCCTGTGGAGTTTCGTGGCAGACAGCACTGAGCAATGGTGATAGTCTCTGTGCCTCATATAGGCACTGATGGCTGTGAAGCATTGGCATCAATCATTGTTGTAAATGGTGGTTGGGCTGCATTTTGTACTTGTATTGTGCTTAATTTGCAGATGTATAAATGATTGTACAGCACAGTGATAAACTGAATCTGTAAGTGTTCTCTTCCATATTTTTCATAGGAAGCAGCCCTTGTATAACTCTAATAAATTAGATGTCTAGTTAGAAAAATAATCCACTTTAGTCTTCTGCCACACATCTCTCACTGTCAAATAAAATATGGGTTGTACAGGCACTGCCAGTTTGATTTGTGGACAGGACTTTGCACCTGTTCACTGCATAAAGCAGCAATCATGTACTCAAAGACACACGTTAATGTACGGAGAAATGAGGCCACAGATACAGGGTGCTTAGATTAATGTTCCATACATGACTGTAGTGTTCATTTTGCAATCTCAGCTGTAATTTTCACAGAATCACAGAATAGTACGGGTTGGAAGGGACCTCTAAAGATCATCAAGTCAAACCCCCTGCCAGAGCAGGATCACCCAGAGAAGACCACACAGGAACATGTCCAAGTGGGTTTTGAATGTCTCCAGAGAAGAAGACTCCACAACCTCTCTGGGCAGCCTGGTCCAGTGCTCTGTCACCCTCACAGTGAAAAAGTTTTTCCTTATGTTTAGGCTGAACCTCCTGTGTTTCAGTTTGTGACCACTGCCTGTTGTTATGTTGCTGGACACAACTAAGAAGAGTCTAGTCCCATCTGCCTGACACCTACCCTTTAGATATTGATAAGCATTAATGAGATCCCCCTTCAGTCACCTCTTCTTCAGACTAAACAGACCCAGCTCTCTCAGCCTTTCCTCATATGGGAGATGCTCCAGTCCCCTCATCATCTTATTGGCTCTACACTGGACTCTCTCCAGAAGTTCCCTGTCCTTCTTGAACTGAGAAGCCCAGAACTGGACACAATATTCCAGATATGACCTCACCAGGACAGAACAGAGGGGAAGGAGAACCTCCCTCAACCTACTAACCACACTCTTCTTAATGCACCCCAGGATGCCATTGGCCTTCTTGGCCATGAGGGCACATTCTGGCGCATGGTCATCCTGCTGTCCACCAGGACCCCAAGTCCTTTTCCCCTGAGCTCCTATTCAGCAGGTCAGCTCCCATCCTGTACTGATGCATGGGGTTGTTCTTCCCCAGATGCAGTACCCTACACTTGCCCTTGTAGAATTTCATTAAGTTTCTTCCCACCCAACTCTCCAGCCTGTCCAGGTTGTGCTGAATGGCAGCACAGCCTTCTGGAGCGTCAGCCACTCCTCCCAGCTTTGTGTCCTCAGCAAACTTGCTGAGGGTACACACTGTCCCATCATCCAGGTCATAGATGAATATATTGAACAAGGCTGGACCCAGTACTGGCCACTAGAGGATCACCACTAGACATGGGCCCTAGACTCTGCCTCACTGAGCACAACTCTCTGAGTTCTGCCCCTCAGCCAGTTCCCAATCCACCTCACTACCTGATCATCTAGACCACACTTCTTAAGTTTGGCTGTGAGAATGTCATGGGAGATGGTGCTGAAAATCTTGCTGAAATTAAGGTAGACCGCATCCACTGCCCTCCCCTCATCTATCCATCCAGTTATGACATCGTAAAAGGCTATCAGATTGGTCAAACATGACTTCCCTTTGGTGAATCCGTGCTGACTACTCCTGATAACTCTCTTTTTCTTGACATGCTTTGAGATGGTGCCAAGAATAATCTGTTCCATTACCTTTCCATGGGTGGAGGTGAGCCTGACTGGTGTGTAGTTACCTGGGTCCTCCTTCTTGCCTTTTTTGAAGACTGGAGTGACATTGGCTTTTCTCCAATCCTCAGACACCTCTCCCATTCTCCAGGACTTTTGAAAGACGATGGAGAGTTGCCTAGCAATGACTTCTGCTAGGTCCCAGCACTTGTGGGTACATTCCATTGGGACCTATGGGTTTGTAGATGTCCAGTTTACTTAATTGTTCTCTAACCCAATCATCTTCAAATGAGGCAAAGTCTTCCTCTTTCCTGACTTCCTCTGTGGTCTCAAAGGTCTGGGACTCCTGAGGGCTGGCCTTAGCAGTAAAGACAGAGGCAAAGAAGACATTCAGTAACCCCACCTTCTCTCTATCCTCCATCACCAGGGCACCACTTCATTCAGTAGTGGACCCATTTTATTTGGTTGTAATTTTCTTAATTTAAGTCAAGTACACAATAAAACCCCAGAAATTTCCCTCCACCTTGCTCATAAATAAAGTGGGATCGAGAGTTGTGAAACACAGACCACCAGCATTTGAAACTATCTGAATAACTGTTAGAAATAGCAGATTTCTGCAAATCTAAGATGAATACAATAAGATTGTAAATTCTTGGAAAGTAAGAACACCCAATTAAAGATTGCCAGTCTTGACTTAAAGGTGTTGAATGCTGGAGAACTCATGACGTTTCTATGTATGTTTGCAATGATTGATTGCTGCCACTGGTAAAATAAATTCCTAATTCCCAGTGGGAATTGATACTGTTTCTCACCAGTGGATCTTGCTGTGCCCACATCTGATAGAAGGAAATGCCAGCTACTACCAGAATAACAGAAATTTTATCTCCAGATGAATACTTGCAGACTGTGATCAAATCACCTCTTAACCTCATTGAGAAGAAAAACAAATTGACCTTGTGTAGTCTGCATGGGTAGAATTACAACCATTTTATTTTTCAATTTTTGAGTAAGTTTTTGAAACATTGATAGAAGTAGCAGCTTCATAGGTAACTACTCTTTACTTCTACTTGCAATTCCATTTATCATACATCAAAAGGGCCGTAGCAACAGCCTACTCTGGTGAATCGTATCTAGCAGATTATTCATGGGGTCCTTTGTACCTTTTTCAAGTTCACTGATTTCTTGAATGCAGTTTTTCATTTTGTGTGTGATTGACATGTATTTCATTGTGTTTGGCCATATTGGAATATGAGTAAGTCTGCTTTAATGGTATGACTCAGCTTGTTCCATATTAATTATTCTCATTACTAGTTACTGTTCTATCAGGTTTTTGGCATCCACAATTTTCTTCAGCAAAAAGTTTATCTTTTCTTCCACATTTCTCATAAAGATACTTAACAGCATTGAAAGAATAGCAAGCCCACTTGAAATTACACTGAAAATACCCACACTGAATACTGATTGTCTGTTTCCAAGTTTTTAGATCTCCCAGTTTTTTATTATTTTTTATGTTTAATACCTTTGTTCTTTTATTTTATGACTATCACTGAGTAGTCCTCAGCTAGTAAAAATCTTCATTAGGAGGTTAGTGAATAGTTATGAATAACATTTGTTGGTGTAAATATAGGATGGGACTTTCCTTGTGACCTGTTCAGCTGCATCCTGAAGCAGAAATTCCTTTTATTCCTCTCCTTTTTTAAAACCAATGTTTTCACTGATTTTAATATATTTCCTGTCTTAAATGACCAAAGATTATATTGCTGTCAATTGTTCAATTTTACTTTAATGTCATATACAAAATATCCATTCTATATTGCAACTTAATATATTTTATATAAAATCCAATGTACAGTATCTTAAGTTTGTTTAAATAGCATTATAAACATAACTTTCAGGAGGAGTCATTCCTGGAGTGATGCATTCTTTTGTTAATTACAGTTCCTTTGGGTATCCGTGCTGTTTGGTATCCAGCTTAGATTCTAGAAAGACCCTTATAGCTCGGATTTGGTTCTTTTCAAAGCAAAAATAAACTCCCAGATTGCGCTTTTTTTTTTTTAACTGTGTCCCCCCCATGCAGCTAGATAAAATCCTGTGCTGGAGTGTCCTGTTGAATGTCACTTGACATCATCTGTTTCAGAGCTCATCTTCATCCGATAAAGCGTCAAGGTAATCTGTATCAACGTATAAGAGAAATCCAGAAAACAAACTGTCTGCCCACGTTGGATCAGAAAAGAGACCGTTTTGGTCATTGTAAAAGATCTCAAGCCATACTTCGTCTTCTGGCTGAAGGTAGATCACTGTGGATCCAGAAGCTACATCATGGTTGCCTGTGTTGGCATCAAATGTCTTTATCCGGTACTTCCCGTTGTGAACCAGCCCAATCGCAAGATGCTTGTTTGCTAAAGTGATATCATAAGAAAAATAATAAATCCCTGGGATAGCACAAATAAATTTCCCTGTGGAAGGATTGTAATGCTCCCCCTCATTGAAGAGGACTTTATTGAATACAATTGGTAATCTTTCCTCTGGGTAGCTGGTGGTGATGCCAACAGAAAAGGCAGATTTCAGCACTATCTGTCCACACTTACAGACCCCTGGTGCACCTGGGTCTCCTCGGTCTCCTTTATCTCCCTTAGGTCCAGGTGGTCCAGCTGGACCTACTTCACCTTTGGCACCAGTCAATCCTCCAGGTCCTTTTTTACCAGACTGACCTTGGTCTCCTTTCTCTCCAGCTGGTCCTAATGGCCCAGTCTTTCCTCTTAAACCTTCAAAAACATTTTAAGTTAGTTAATTGTTGCACATATCATCTCAGTAAATGATTATGTGGGCTACTGTGTGGGCCTGCACAAACAAGAAAAACATGGTCAGAATTTCATAATACTGCAAAAATGCTTTCAAAATCTTCTAGTAAGTTAGCAAAAGGAATGGCAGGTTGGAAGAGAGGACCAGACTCCACAGCCCAGGGTCCTTTGTTTCTGTATTTCTACTTTTCTTCATACATCTTGATTACACACTGAAGTATTTTATATGTAATCAGTCTTTTGCAGACTGAACTATGGGCACTGCTGATGGGAAGGACAGCAACATGGCTACCTATATAATGATACTCATGCACTAAATATCTCCCACTATTTGAGCATTTTTAATGTGTACCTGAATACTTGCTAATCTTTTAGTCCTGACTAGTGGTAAAAATGAGAATATTTATTTGACACCACTTGTGCCTAAGTTTTCCCAAACTTGTTCTTAGCATCTATGTGCAGGAAAGCTATACATTTACATTTATTTACACAGATTTCAGTATATGCATATTAGACATATCTCAAATATATCTGCATATTTTCTTTCTCTCACAACCTATACATGCATCACACTTAAACCCACACAGGCACATACACACATTTATTGTGTATATCTATATATACACAGATATATATATTTATAACAGCAACGATGAAAGGTTTTGCTTTGTTGTAATACTGTGTTAGGTTACACAAATATTCAATACCTGCACTCCCTTTTTCACCTTTTTCTCCCTTCCTGCCATCTCTGCCATCTCTTCCTGGAAGACCAATGCGTCCATGTGGCCCCGGGGATCCACCGGCTCCAGGGGGACCTGCAGGGCCTGGCAAACCTGGGATGCTACAGATGTATCTGGTGTAGTAATTTTCTCCTTTGAACTGGCTTTGAAGAGGTTGTTCGCTTGTGTAGATGGCAAAACTTGTAATGTAAAGCAACACAAACATCCTTGGATCTGGAAAAAATTCATATGTATAAGTCTATTTGTGCGCATTATGGCACTCTAGTAACATGGAGATGACTTGGAATATGCTAGTAAGTGTGACGCTGAAATGCAGTATGCACAGGTACACGTGCAGAAATCGACCTGGGATTTCTGCCTTACCAGAATCCATGCCAGAGGCAAGGAGAAAAGTCTATCAGGTTGAACCTTTTTCTGGTCATATGCTACTATATGTCTTTCAAGTAGCCTGTAGACTACAATTTCTGCCTTACCAGAATCCATGCCAGAGGCAAGGAGAAAAGTCTATCAGGTTGAACCTTTTTCTGGTCACTATATATGCTACTATATGTCTTTCAAGTAGCCTGTAGACTACACAGCATTACTGGCGAATACCAGCTTTTTTGGACGAAATTTTGACACACACACACACAAAAATAAATCTGTATTTTTCAATGCAAGGTTCTTTGCTTGCATAGTTTATTTTTTCTTTGGAACT